GTCCTCAGAGCTTTAAATCGCAAAGATCTGAGGGGTAGTACCACTGCACCCGTCACCCTGAGACATAAGTTGACAAATTCCATGTGCCTGTAATTTCACCAGCACCCTTATCCTTCAAAACCGGATGTGTTCCGAATGCTAACATTACTGCTTGGCGTCAGAAACAGGCAAGGTGGCAGTACTTTCCTGGACGAACTCTTTCACAAGGAGCTCTACTGCTACCAAATCCGACTTCTCTCAGGGTCTAGGCCACGGTCCTCCATGTTTGTCCAATGCGGGTTGGGGATTTCACACGTTTACCGAGAGTTGTGAACCTTCTTCGGCGTGCAAGTTTCATCACAATGTTTTCCTTTACTGAAAAGCTCATGATAAATTACAAATTAAATTTCTAAACTACGGCCTCTGCTTGAAAGGCGGTAGATGAAATCATTAGGCTACGACGACTTTCAATTTATTTTTATATTATTTAGCATTTAATTGTATATGACATGTTGATTTTATAATTTTTACTGATATTAACGTTTTTTATTGACTTGAGTAACTTCAAAGGAAATACGGCTAATTTTCAACTTTAACGGTATTGTTTACTTTTTGTATTCGCACCGTTGGTGTATAAAGTCATATCTCCAAAATGACAAGTTTTCAGAAGCGAGGTTTAAAGATTCTATGAACGAAATTAGTCGATAGGTTTATTATGGGAGAGTTATAAAATTTCACATACCATCGCCTTACTGTTAAAACCTTCTATATCCACTTTTCATATTTCAGAAGAATGGGGACAAACCTTTCCAAAAAATTACATTTGTTACTTGAAACGCCAGGTTTTGAAATCAATAGCTATTTGCTAGAATATCAATAGCAATGGACATAATATGTGGTAACGCACTAAATTTTTCCGTATAGTGGTAGTTTTAACAGTAAATCGATGATATACATAATTCGTTTCATGTAGTTCATTATTATTTTTTGACTTTCATGTGACATGTAATTTTATTATACCAAGAGTACTTAAAGAGTAATTCATAAGGGAGGGAGGGAGGGAGTGTGAGTGTGAGCGTTATTATGGGCGTAAAATTTAAAAAATATGGCGACGTTCTAATCAATACGAAGTTACCTAAAGTTACATTTGATGACTGATCAGGGGGTCGATTCAGAACATTACGATAACCAAACAACTCAGTTGTCGACCGACAACTGAGTTGTTTGGTTTCTTTTCATTTTTATTCACAACACCCGAATGGAACGTCAAACTGTCGTATTCGAAACCGAACTGAAATGACGTCACATCCATACGATTACTCGAATTTTATGAATTTATTTTAATGCATTCCTATATTTTAGGCGTTTAAAGTCTTAAAAATGTCTATAAAAGGACTTTCATTTTTCTTATAACCTATTTCACCAACTAACTCCGTCAACGCTGTTGGATAACGATATTCTAACCGAATCCGAATGGAACGTTTTGTTCGAAATGTTCTGAATAGCTCGGAAAGCGCCCTTCGATTCGAGAACGATATCCAATCGAACGATTCGGTTAAAATATCGAAGATTTCTAAATCTGGATCCAGAACGGCATTTATGCAAAACATAACGGAGACGTAATAACTTACCACTTTATCATTTTTGAGTTGCGACGGTGTTGAAACTGGTGTGCGATATGATCACATCGGTCTCTAATATACTAAGGGTACAAATAATTCTTCATATAGAAAGATGACCTTCGTACCCTGTACGCCTTAACACAGTACTCTAAAGATAAGCTAACAACCCTGGCCTATACTTATGACACCTGCAGACAGCTTAATGATCCTCAACATGGGAATATCAAGTTATTAGCAAACTGTTAGCTGAATCCGGGCCCAATTTAATAGCCATAAAAATCATAATTAGGCGTAATTTTTCATTTTATAGTCATGTTATCCGACGTACACGGTTTCGCCAAGGTGAAGTTGTAGTTGTTGGAAAAGTGGACCTCAATTGAGTGGTGAAAGGCGTCGATATGCGTGTGTGATACCATAATAGCACTCTGAGTGCTGGATATGGTGTTTGTTTGTTATCACATAAGCACGCAGAGCGGGGCAACGACCTTAATTGCAATGTTATGTTTACATAATTACGTAGGTACTTGTATGAGTGTAATTGGGAATTATCTGGTTTAATTATTTTCTTTAATTCATTAATTCTAAATTAAATGTTATTACATTACAACTGCCTCGGTGGCCGAACGGTTACCACGGTCTGCCACGCAGAGATCGCGGATTCGATCCCCTGGCCGGGAGACATATTTGTATGGTCTACATTTATATATCTCATGAGTTTAGGTGTAATTTGTCTGTGTGTGTAAAAAAAAAGAATTAATTTCCACAAATGGAATGGTGTACTCGATGTTTATGGTGACAAAGGTGCAATTGAATTGGATTGCCTTTAGAAAAACAAATGAATGAACAAGGCCAAGCTGAAAAACCGTAGAAGCCACAAAAATTAAACTAATCCGTTCTTTTGGTTTATTTGTTCCGTTGATTTGGTCGAGTATTACTTATTTGACAGTAATTGTTTCGGATGGATGTCGGAGAACGAGAGTAAATGCCTTGCTCCTTCCACGCACTGTAGCTGTTATGTATAGGCGTGTTTCAATAGAGTGATTCAATAATAAGCAATCGAATTTGCTATCTTATTACCTTGAATTAAGTTATATTGATTTCTTTTGTTTTCGCGATTGTTACAAACCAACGTTTCGGAATCTTTACTGATCCCACGAAAGACGAAGCCGTGATAGCCTAATAGTTTGACCTACTGCCTCTCAAGCAGAGGGTCGTGGGTTCGAATCCGGGCTCGCAACTCTGAGTTTTTCGGAATTTATGTGAGAAATTAAATTTGAAATTTACCATGAGCTTTTCGGTGAACGAAAACATCGTGATGAAACCTGCACCTTGAAGAAGGTTCACAACCCTCGGAAAACATGTGAAGTCGCTATTCGCATTGGGCCAGTGTGGCGTACTATGGCCTAAAACCTCATCTGAAAGGAGACCCGGGACGTATAAATGGGTTGATGATGACTGGTCCCATGATCACGGCAGACTGTCATATGTCGATAAACATCTAGATGCTTAAGGAAATATGATTTTAATGAATTAGTAGCAATAAAGCTCCTTGTGAAAGAGTTCAGTCCAGGTAAGTACTACCACATTACCTATTTCCTATTTATTTCTGCCGCCAAGCCGTAATGTGAGCATTACTGCGTTCCGGTTTTGAAGGGTAAGGGCGCTAGTGAAATTACAGGTACATAAGACTTGTCAACTTATGTCTCAGGGCGACGGGCGCAGTGACAGTGTCCCTCAGGTGTTTGTGATTTAAGACTCTGAGTGGCACTGCAACTACATATAATGTACAGGCGTGTCGCTTACCACCAGACCTACAACTTGTTCATCCCATCACTTAGTATTATAAAAATAAAAAAATACGTGCTCTAAATCTAATATAAGAGAATACTAATTACATACATAGTATTATACATCTGTTATATTACACCGAGTGCAATACTATGTTATTTTGAAGTACCTATGACATGAAGTCAGTGCTGTCTGATCTATTAAAATTTACAAATAAATACGTTTTTCGACTTCGCGTATAAACTTTCTATGGTATCTAATGAGTTTCTACAGGTATATATTCTTTACATTGTTGCAGTCATGTACATAGGCTATCAATGAAAAGGTAAAAACGGGAAGTTATCTTCTATAATATCTTAACTGGTTGTATAGATAAGAACACATAAGTAATGAGATCGACTATCGTGTATGTAAGTATAACTTTTTACTCCTCGTTTTAAACTCGTGTTACCCCGGAATGCTTTTATAGGAAATAGCTGGTACATGTGAACAGGTGCGTACCATTGTACGTCTTTTTAAATATTTCTTCATACAAATATTTCTCCCGACTCGGGAATCAAACTCGAGAACTCTGCGTGGCAGACCAGCACGGTAACCGTTCAACCACATTACCTAAACTGACAGTTATGTAGTAGTCTCATTAAAAACTCTATAAAATAAACACAAAATAAAATTTACGGATTTTATTATAACAATAAATATTTCATATAATTTATTGTCCATAACTGCAATAAGTTTTTTCTAACTTATTTTACAAAATACATAGAAAAAATTGAAAAATATTTCAATCTCTTTCACAATGGAAGTTTTATTATTAGTTAGATACAAAGAATAAAATGTTTAAAAATACATAGATACATAGATATTATATAGTAATTAATACAGTTGTATAGAAGGCACATTGCCATAAATAATAAAATCTATTTTTTCCGACATTACATTATCTCCATAAAATATCGAAGATAAAGTGACAAGACTTTCTATAAATTATTGATGTGTTTAGGAACTTTTATGCAATGTAACTGGCAGTTCCATTGTAACTAGAGATGGGAAAAACTCATTGACTTACAATTATATGGACGTCGGGTCCGCGCTAAAAAGTGTCCGCACTTGTAAGGCGCTAAAATCGTATACAGAGCGCCAAACTCCGCTTTAGTCTTCATTTGTTCGACTGACAGCGCGATACTGCGATGACATTACAATTTAAATTTCGAATAGGTTGACTTGGGACATTTTTTTCGTGGATTTTGTATTAGACCCGTCGTCCATTTATTTGTAAGTCACTGGAAAAACTGCTTATTTTTTAAACGTTATAGCTTTTTAAAAAAAGCGTGCTTTTTTAGACGCTTTTCACTTAAACGCTTTTTAGTTTGAAGCTTAAAAAAGCGCATAGACTTTTATGATCAAAAGGCTTGCAACGTTGTGTTGATAGCGAAAAGCAAGGTAGACCACTTTTATTTTTATTTATAAAATTATTATTCACATTGACGAATTATTTTGTTTAGGAAACATAAATGGTGGGTCTTGAAATTTAGGCACGTTAAAAATTTTAATTGTTGACTATACAACTGACCAACGCTTATGCTTAAAATAAAAAGCGTGCTTAATTGCTTATTTTAAAAAGCAAAATTTTTTAAGTGCTTTTCGTTTAAACGCCCACCTATAATTGTAACCTGAAGTATATCTTATATGTCAGTGCGATGCTGCTCGAGAGACGACTAAACAAATATGAACAGCATTTTTATCATATGGAGGTTGCCAATATGCAATTCAAAGCTCCTACGGAGGTTAAGTGACAAGACCTTATGTAAAAATTAAAGTGTTCTAAGGGTGTGTACAGATCTGGCGAATCTGGCTGAACGGGTGTTGCACGCGTGCAATTAAGTGCGCCATGTCATCGCACACAAGTCTCGCATAATGTGCGCGAGCAGCCCGCGAACGTTAGGCACATGTGTCGCTCGCGAGTCTTTCGCAAACAGGCGTATTCGCCAGATTTGTACGCACCCTAAAACATTAACGTAATCATCGAAAGAAATTATACGAGTATCCGTATGCTCACCCCAATGATTAAAACAATAACTGTACAAAAATTCTTCATCTATTACATTCCATATCCCATAAACATACTTTTTAAAATCCCATGCCATCTTACGTATGTAGATGCGGAAATGCGTCATTGTCGCTTCATCATCGATATGTTCGTACAATTTTCTTACGCTTTACTTTTTGTCAAAACATTTTTTACCAACAACTACTTTTGGTTGCACTACTTAGAACAACGCAATGGTTAATGGGATACGCGGAAAAAGGAAATATAAAGGCATGAAAAATATACCAAATCATGGTTATATAATACCTATAGGAAGACAAAAAATCAGTCATTTTATGGATAAAGGTAACATAGGGCATGATTTCGATAGGAGCAAATTGCACCAAATTATCTAGTTTCAAAAGTTCATGAAACTCAAAACCGACCATAATGTAATCAATTATAAAAGAGTAGATCATTTAGAGTTTTTCTTATTATAATCATACAAAAATAAATCAAATTTACTATGAAAAAATATCGTCTAAAATTCAAAATGCCTTTGTTTAATTTTTAGGACATTTATTAATATAAATTAAAAACCTCTACATGAACAGCGACTCTTTAGTTGACTGTACAAATAGGTTACCAGAAATTAGAGATGTAAACTTTCAGAATGTCAATTATCGAATATATTACATACTAGCTGATGCACGCGACTTCGTCTGCGTAGTATAAGTACTTCGAGTAGCCTACTACTTTTCATAACTTTATTGATTTTCATACAAACTTTCATCCTCTATTTCACCCCCTTTAACATTTATTTTTGTGACAAAAAGTGGCCTATATCCTTCTCTTAGGTTCCTCTTATCTCTATATCAAAATTCAACGATATTGGTTCTGCAGTTCAGGCGTGAAAACAATTAACACAGTTACTTTCGCATTTATAATATTCGTATAGATTCGAGTACGTAAAATTAAGACGGAACCAAAACCAAACCATTTTATAAAAGAAAAACGATATGGTAAGAAAGTAACCACTCTCGCTTCATAAGCAAATTAATTTTTTTTGTCACGAATAACATACACTTACATTAACATTTTTACAACATCACAATCATTCGTATACAATATATAACAGTATCTATTCATATTCAAAGTAAATTTATGCTGTATTGTACTTAGTACATACGTATATATACAGGGATCAAAAAGTGTATAATTATCTACAACTAATATAATATCCCGTAGTAAAAGAAATCATTGTTTCCTTACTGGTCCTGTTCTAATCCTTAAGTCACACCTGGCAGCATTCCTGGCATTCCTTCGACAAATCCTGCGATATACAACATCGGTCGATAATAGCCTCCTGTCAATGGACAGACACAAACAAACTCCCGTCAAGGAGTAATCGACATCCTTTGGTGAATAGACAAACACGTCATATGCTGAGTGATGGGCGTTTCTTCCGTACACTCTTGTTACTCAGTCCAAGAATTGTCCCGATTACCTGTGTAACAAATTTCGGGTCTTATTAACTTTGTGCTAGATTTGATAGTTATATAAAATTTGATTTCAACCTGTTATTATGGGACTTTTAAAAAAATAAATATTCACTAACAACGTCTAATGACAACATCATATACGTTGATGCTCTGATCCCAAAGTTAGTAACTTAAACACATGTGTTATGGGAATCGAAATCAACGACGGGGATTGAACCCGGGACCTCAGAGATGATGATACCATGTAAACCGGTACGCAAGCCACTCAACCACAGAAGTTGGAAAAATAACAACGAAATGCATTTATATCAAACTTTGTCATAGGTTTCATATTTAGAAATAATCAGGTTAATAAAGTAAAATATGCAGTATATATTTTTTAATTATTGAAAGTAGGGGCTATCTATGCAATTTTACCGATCAAAATCGAAAAGAAAGGCGATATTGGAGTCATTCTTCCTCTAGTTGTAGTGTATTCGAACCTTGGAAACAGAATAAGCAGCCAGCTTTCGTCGGGGAGATGGTAGGAGAAGAGCTAACGCCCGTGCCTCGCGTAGTAAAGCGTGAAAAGCAAGCGCCGCGCCTGCGCTCGACTCCGCCGCTGATATCTCATAGAACTGACACCCGAATCTTAGTGATAATTCTTGACCTTCTTCCGCATTAACGACTCTGTTAAGGAAAAATAGATTTTGTAACCACTGCTTTAAAATATCATTAACTACATTAAGCCGAGTTCAGATTTATACTACATTTGTTATATACCAACAAGCAATCATGGAGGTACCTTGCATGTTCCAAGTCAGTCTTATTTCCCAACAACGTCACAGCAGTGCAACCAGGAAGTCGAGTCCGTTCCAACAACGCCAGTAGCTCGCCGGCAGCGATGAAGGAACGTCGATCACAAACAGAGTACACCACGGCGAACGCGTCGCCCCATCGCAGGTGATCCGCTAGGCAACCACGTTTCTACAGAAATAATGACAACATCATTACCTTGCCATGAAAACAAATGAATGCCAACATTTGAAACAAATAAAGATGATATTTACAGCGCAACCGCACGTGTCCAACACTTCCACTTCTGACGTGGCGCCGTCAAACGCAACTCGATGTTGATAGAAGAAATCTGTAACAAATTCTGTTGTGAATTGTCGTTTATAAGTAAACCAATAGTAACGAATTCGTGAAAATAATGCTTGAAATAGACCATTCAATGCGTTCTCGATTTCGACCTCGCCCTAAATTGGCATATGAAGAGACTGTGTCAATCACACTCGATACGTTGATGTCGCAAATTTCAGACAGTGTTATGTTATGTATCATTATACGTATGTCACGTAACTTAATTTATCGAGTTTGTATAATTTCTACATTGGGAATATGAATTTTTTTTGAACTGCTTGTAGTAAAAGGTCGATGTCCGGTAGCTACCGGCGCCAGTGTCGGTCGCCTTGGCTCTCCTACCTTGTATCTTGCCAATTTCACAAATAACCTATCCATTGGCACTAGAAATTTGGCCAGTGTAGGGCCGGCCAGCCCTACGGCTCGTCATCATTAATATCTCTATCTTTCATACGCCATTGACTTCTCTAATGTAAACATTGAGGTCATCGAAATTAGATTACAAAGATAAAGCATGACCGGTGTACAACGAATACCAAGTAGCGAATTGATATACGCAAGAAAAACAACAACCATTTCTATTATTACATTTGTGCTTTATCAACTTTGATTTAATGTTATTGTTACTTTTGCCGTCAAGCAGAACAATGTGTGCATTTCGGTTTAGAAGAGTAAGAATGCTGATGAAAGTACAGGCACATGGGACTTGTCAACTTATGTCTCAGAGTGACGGGCTGCAACTGCAATGGACAGGTGTGTCGCTTACCACTACTGCGCGCACGACTTGTTCATTCCGTCACTAGGTAGGTGCCATAGAATAACTTAATTAAATAATCTTACCTCCAGTTGAACTGTATTCGCCAATGTATCTCTTAGTCAAATACCGAACCACCACGGCTGCAACAAGAAAACTTCCATTAACATTTCCCAATTTAAATAAATATGTAAATGCAATCATAAAGAAAGTTAGCTATTGATTACTTATAGTTTACTCTTTACGATAAAACGCATCGCGTGGTTTGAAATACAAGTTGGAAATAGAGAAAGCATCAATTAGCGGTAATCGGTAAGAGGTGTTACAAAAGTTGTATTCCTGAATCAATTTATAACTACAAGGCTCAATTAGAGGGAAAGTAGACAAAAGGGCTTTAGGCTAACTTTAACGTGCGGTTTGCGAATTACCGACGCAATCAATGGCCACACCTTTTTTCCTTTTCAAACCACGAGATATGGCTCATAGATCTATATTAAGGTAAGAAAGATAATATGCTTCTAAGATATATAATAAAATATCAACTGTAAAGATTTACTATTGAATTAAATATTTTGTTTTAGATAACAGCATTTCCATTTTAGAATCATAAAAAATATACAAAACGCGAAATTCTAAAGTTTTTTTATACTTAATTTTTTTTAGGAATAATTTAAATTAGTGCATGACAAGGTTGTTCTTGCAACAAAAGTAATAAAATTTTACAATGAACTCCTAAAATTCACGTTGGAATTTCGGTTTACGCATTAAATAGATTCCAAGACGTCAAAAACGATATACGATGGGATGTAAAGCAAGAAACATTTTGTGAAATGATATCTTTACGTCGCATCTCATCAGCTTCGCCATTTTATTGAGTCGCGTGGAATATACGAGCCCGATAAACATGTCATTCCATCTTTATTGTCGAGCTTCTGCTTTATGATCATCTTTAGATGCACCAGAACTTAGAGGCTAAATTTACTGAGCGAAATAAGTGAGAAATCGATCCTTCGGAAGGTTTATTGTGATTCCGACTCAAACCCCTAAGAGCATTATATGGTTAATGATGAGACGTTGGCCTTAAGGCCTGAGATATTATTAAAAGGAACCAGATGAATATATTGTGGTTGCTATGCAAAGATCCGTCAGGGTATCTGTGGTTCACGGCCCTACCGTCCACAAAAAGTAACAAATATAAAACGCGCTAATTGGGCACTGCAATACATAGAGCCGCTAGAAGAGAGTTAGACTATAAAAATTCACACGTAAACTTTAGAAAAGAACCTTTTTTCGGATCTAAATCTCCACGGTCATATTTGACAATAGGGTCTGAAAGGTTGGTTTGGTTTCAAAAAAATTATATCCGAAAACAAAATAGTTTTACTTCCAATTTGCATCAATCGCGAATACCTCGGAACTGAATACTTAAACTGTCAAATTTAAAGTCGACCATAGTTTCAGTGAAATAGTTCTTTATTGCTTCTAGAATTCTATTTTATTTGAAGTTCATCCTTATTTCGTTGGAATTTTGTTGATAAATTGTAATTCAAAACGTGTGATATTTAAAAAGACCCCAGAGTAGTTATAGTTCATAAATACGTACTTGTACTCTAACTGTAGTTATGCACTGTAAATAACGTTTATTTGATCGTTATGATTTTTCTGTACAATGTATGATGACCGCAACTTTTTCAGTTAACTCTTTGTATAAGTTAATGATTTGAATATAAATTTCTAACGCACAATGCGTAATGTTATAATATCATATAATACACAAGAACAGTGCATACATAATAATACATATGTATTATTTTAGCTTCAAATATAAGCCGTTCTAAATCGCTAGTAACATAATATAATAGTCAAAGAAGAAGGAGAGTCACAAATAACAACGTATTGCAGAGTATGCAAAAAAAAGTTCCAATAACCTGCAGACCACAAAACGGTTCTTCCTTTAATGAGATTATCACTCTTCATGATGTGTGTACTATAGAAGTACTGCAGTATTCTTACTACAGTACTTCAAGCACATCATGAACAGTGATAATCTCAGTACAGAGTACTAAAAAACCGACCTCATAAGTTCGTGAAATTACATCTATTCGCCAAGTTTTATTGAATTCGGTTACCGAAAAGTCCGTGAAGCCGGATTCATCCAGATTGTCACCCTTAGAGGTGGAATATTTTCATCTTTATTAAATAGGAACAATACTCTTTTTCCAACAAAAAAAAGGATCATCAAAATCGGTTCACAAATGCCCGGAGTTATCACGTAACATACCTACATTCAAAAAAATACATTCGAATTGAGAACCTCCTTTTTGAAGACGGTTAAAAATATCTATTGCAAGTCATTCCGCAAGGAGAAATCCAGTTCCAGAGAAGACGTCGATATAGAAATACCACATGCTCCAAAATTTTGCAGATTGGTTCAACTTTGGCACCACATTACTGTTCTGAGCTACAACTTCACTGGCTCAAGTGACTAAATGATATCCGACCTCTGGTAAAAGATATTACACCAAGGAGAAGAAGAATAATATGCCAGACAACTGCACCTATTACCTCGTTTCGTTACCCAGAACATCTGAATCAATTTTGAAAAATTCATTTCTCAAACACGTTCCCGGGTTCGATTCCCAATGCTGATGAAGCTCTCGCAGTGCGAACCGTTTGGCCTCCGAGGTCGTCTAATATAATAAACGGGTCAACTAATAAAATAATTCACTATAGTATCTACTAAAGTATGACAGTCACCGGCATTGAGCTAAGACAAAACAATCAATGCGTACTAATTGGGGTTTCGCTGCTATCTATTAAGGTTGTCCAACTTTCCTTTAAGTTTTACAATAGAACCTACATTCTAAGATCAAGGCTTGTATCGTTTGTTTATTAGGTAAGTGTATCTAGGTGAATCCCGGTATAATTTTACAAGCCATTAATCTCTATTTCTACTACAGTCGCAGTTGGCACGGGTTAACTGTATGCATGCACATGGTACGCTTACAATGTAGTTAAGATAGACATCTTTACATACAAAATAGGGTAATGCTTTTCTCAGTAAACTAACTTTAAACTTACGGAATCTTCCTAGATAATAATTATAATTTTTTTATAAAAATAAACGACCTCCAAAGTTTGTGGAATTAAATCTATTTGCCAAGTTTTATTGAAATTGGTTAACGGAAAGTTGAAGAAATCCAATAAACCGGATTCATCCCCTAATTTGCCACCCTTAGAAGTGGAATATTTTCTTCAAACTTGAATGAGACCACTACTACGCAGTAATCGCGTAACATACACACAAAAAAACACGAATTCGATCCAATTGAGAACCTCCTCCTTTTTTTAAATCCATCAAAATGAGTTATTACATGGTAAACAAATTACACTTGAAAACGTCAAAACTTTGAAAGAGTACTCATGGCAGAGAACGAATGCAACTCTAGGCGCTACCGTCAGCCATTCTGTTTAAAATATTAAATGTAGTAGAAGCGCGTCTTTTCATGACCTCAAACATGATTAATGAGACAGTTATTAATGAGAAATTATCATCAAACCTAACGTACGCAAAGTCGATTAAACGTCCCGAACAAAAATTCTTACCGCGGAGCAATAATTCTTACTATTTTTTACTAATAGACTATTAAATAAGATTGTAATCATAGACAGTAAAGTCTCTAGTTGACCAAAACGGAAAGGAAGCGAAAGTAACAATTCAAAAACGCCGAACGTCCGCTTTTATAAAAGACCATACTTCACGACAAAAGTATTGCAAAATCAGAAAAGTTATGTTCTTATCAAAACATGCAAAACAAATACGACTTGAGTGGAACGGAACGCACCAATTATACTAACGAGGGAGCACTTTCACTGATATCTGTTGGTTTAAGGTGAGCCGCGAACATTACGGTTCTGCTCAGATTTTTTCATTAATAAAACAGATAAGAGAACATTGTGCTCAACAAAAACCTTAAGGTGAGAAATAACTCTCTAGAAAGTCCAAAAGATCTTTCACGTTCTTAATTTGGTGAAATTCTTGCTAGATTTTATTTGTGAACCAGTCCATAGAGCGCAGAGATGTTAATAAATAATAACAAAATTAAAAATATCTTACACACTTTTAGGTTTAAAGCAACAGCAATACCGTTTCAGTCGTAACATTTCCCGAAATTGCATTCATGAACATTTGGTTTGTTAAAATTGACTTTGTCAAGCACTGCTATAAATGGTACATAGTGTCATAGTGTTATAGTTGAAGAAATATAATTTGCACCGACGAATGTTATCTCTTGGAACGGTTTAACCTTTCTATTACAATAGGGTAATAAAAATATTAACACTTCTTTTACTTAGAGCGTACAAGGATTTAACGATCTTGGTTCATCGTACCAGAAATGGGTGTGCTAAATGCTTTTTCTGAATTCTAGTTTTCAATTATTACTACTCAACAGGTCGTTTTTTTACGTAGGTACTACATACAATACCGACAGCCGACTCATTTTGATTCTTCTTTATAATTAATCTTATTAATTCTTATTAATTCAACAAGTTATCTAAGCATAAAGATTATCAAGTTTAGAATTAAGTGCCAATGCGTAAAAGTATTTAAACCAGTTGTTTGCACTATACAGATGGCACGTGCGTTACATAGACGGTTCACTCTTTTGTCCTATTGTACTCTAAAGATGAAGCTATAAGACGAAGAAGTGCAAATAACATTTCGCAAAATATAACAATATGTACCATTTATAAAAGTGCTTGACAAAGTACTATATACATAGTAATAAGATAATCATTATTTTACTTTATAGCTTGAAAATTGATGGACAGGCACACCTCCGGATGCAAAAAATCAGTGTTTATTTTCGGAATACACTGAAGAAACTGGAACAGATAACGGGACATAAGGGAGAGATTTCAACGAAGCGTCGTTTGCGACGGTAGCAAAAGCCAAATGTTAATTAAGACCATCGGCACAGGTGATCACAGACACGAGCTCCGCTACGCTACCGGTAATTGGATATTCACTTTAATTAACATATTTAACATTCAGTTTATTTTTTAGTACACGAAATAATTAAGGCATATATCGTTGACTCTTTGAGTGCGTAACCCCCGTCAACAATTTCCATTTTATTACCCAATAATATCATAAAAACATCCATAAAAATTTATGGTAATCGGCGATATTCTCAAAGGATCGCCTGCAACTTTCACTTAGACATATTGACAGTTGATGCATGCTAATTAGATTTCTCCGTTTTTTCCAAGCGACATGCAACAAGGTTTAGCTTTGCTTAACCTAA